AAACATTGGTTTGACACAAACAATTAATCATTAAATATAAGCAAAACAAAGATTATGTTATTTGGAAAACATAAAAAAAATCCACAGGTACAATTAATACTAGATAACATACACATAGAAAGAGTATATGAAATGAAGTTCCTTGGTGTGGTTTAGAGCACAGCATCAGCTGGAAACCTCATGTCCCTCATGTAAAAGCTAAACTGGCTAAGACTATCGCAATATTGGGGAAAGCCAGACACATTCTGGACTACAACTCATTGTATTCTCTATATAACACACTGATATTGCCATATCTGATTTACTGTGTGGAGATTTGGGGAAACACGTACAAAACCAACCTACAGCCGTTATGCACATTACAAAAAAGGGCTATAAGAGTTATCAATAATGTTGGATATCTTGAACACACTAATGTATTATTCTTGAAGTCACACATATTGAAGTTCACTGATCTGGTTACATTTAAAACTGCACAAATCATGTACAGAGCAAGACATAATCTACTTCCTAGGAAATTAAAAACATTGTTCATAGACCGAGAGGGTGGGTATCATTTGAGAGGAAATCTACATTTGAAACAACTCTGAGAAGTATGAGTATAACAATCTGTGGGGTGATTTTATGGAATGGTTTGGAGCAGGAGTTCAAACAAAGCATAATTCAGTTTAAAAGGATGTACAGAAACACTTTTTTGGAAAACTATGAGAATGAAGAGAGGTGACTGAAGATGAGACATTATTGTGTATGTATAAATGTAAATGTAAGTAGGAATAACTTGCATAATGATTTAAAGGACAATCATTGATCAAGTAAGGGGTGGGAATTAATAAGCATTTGCTTCATCCTACTCCCTTTCGGACACATATGATTTTTTTTATTTTTTTTTTATTATTATTATTAATATGAAGACTTTTTTTGTTGAATATATAAATATTATCGTGAATGTGGATAAATACCGTATTTTAACAATACGGTATTCTGTTTTTCACATTTGTTATTTTTTTAATCTGTTCGAAATAAAGATTGAAATGAAATTGAAATGAAACAAACACTTCAGTCCATATAGTGTATAATAATATCTCTCTCTTTACCTGTGTGCTCTGTGGTGCGTTCAGGGAACCATGTGCAGTGTTATATTGACCGTGTGCTCTGTGGTGCGTTCAGGGAACCATGTGCAGTGTTATATTGACCGTGTGCTCTGTGGTGCGTTCAGGGAACCATGTGCAGTGTTATATTGACCGTGTGCTCTGTGGTGCGTTCAGGGAACCATGTGCAGTGTTATATTGACCGTGTGCTCTGTGGTGCGTTCAGGGAACCATGTGCAGTGTTATATTGACCGTGTGCTCTGTGGTGCGTTCAGGGAACCATGTGCAGTGTTATATTGACCATGTGCTCTGTGGTGCGTTCAGGGAACCATGTGCAGGGACTGCCTCTGCTCCACCTTCTGCGTCCCGTGTGTTTGGTGCCAGATGTCTCGAGAGGTTTCGGACAGGAAGCTGCCGGCCGGCCTCGGTGACCTCATCAGCCGCTGATGAAGTCATCATCCACTGCTGTGACATCACTGTGAGAGCTGCACTGCCATTGGTTGCTTCACTAATAATCCAGAGTGACTCCTAAATGTTATTTCCTGTATTCCTTGTATTTTGTCTCATATCAAACATTGGGTGAGCTCGTCTGCCGCTGATGACATCACTGTGAAGCTGTACAGTGATTGGTTAGTTTATTAATAGCCAATAACTTCCTCATTTGTGTTTACTATGTGATTTATATATTTATATTATTAGATATAGTTTCTCAAATCAGTGTATTTTATATTTTGTTCGTTTTGACTAAACTTTGTACTTCTTTTTGTTTTTTATTATATTTGTAAAATAAAAAATGACGGCTTAAATGTTTGATAAAAATCACCTGGATGTTTATTCCTCGTAATGTCCTTTATATTAACATTGGAGGAGCCTGTGACCTAAGATTTTCATGACATAACTACTCTGTAGCTATATTCGTTTGACAAATAAAGAACATTGATCAGGAATCCATCAGATCATTCAGTTGGGATCAGTGGCGTACCCAGGAATGATTGTGTGGGTGGGCCTGGAGAAATGTAGGTGGGCCAGGGGGAGACTTATTAAGCGTGGGGTCTGAGCTGAAACTTCATTCATGATTTTATTTATTTTTTAATGCACTAATTAAACATAAGCCTAAGCTAGCAATGAAAACTAAAACACAGGCCTCAGAATGTAAAAGTGACTTCCACCTGACTGGCTCGGCGGCCACAGGTTGTTTATCCTTGGCAGTCCACAGTGGGCACACACTGAGTGTTTTCATATTCAGCACATGTGCACACGCTTCACTGCAGACCTCAAGAAGAAATAAGACTTTCATTCACTCACGGCAAAACTTACTTTACTTACTAATTTACTCACAGTAAAAAAATGCACTCCTTATTCCATAGTCATGAAGGTGGAATCTAACTCTATCCAGAATAAGTTTGATTGGATCCAGATAGAAACATGTTTATTTCTGCTGTAAAGTCTGGGGTCTATGGGGATGGCTCCGTTCTGCATCCAGCCCCTGTTGGCCACTAGAGGAACTGCAGTTTGTGGCACTTCATTCTGGGCTATGAAGCGCTGATTGGCTGTGGGTGGGCCAGACGTGCATGTGGGTGGGCCAGACGTGCATGTGGGTGGGCCAGACTTGCATGTGGGTGGGCCAGACGTGCATGTGGGTGGGCCAGACGTGCATGTGGGTGGGCCAGACGTGCATGTGGGTGGGCCAGACGTGCATGTGGATGGGCCAGACGTGCATGTGGGTGGGCCAGATGTGCATGTGGGTGGGGCAGACGTGCATGTGGGTGGGCCAGACGTGCATGTGGGTGGGGCAGACGTGCATGTGGGTGGGCCAGTGATAGGTTAGTTTATTAATATCCAATACTTCCTCATTTGTGTTTACTCTGTGATTTATATATTTATATTATCAGATATTATTTCTCAAATCCGTGAATTTTATATTTGTTTTCGTTTTAAACTTTTTTTGTATTGTGTTCGTTTTGACTAAACTTTGTACTCTTTTTAGTTTGTAATGTATTATATTTGTAAAATAAAAAATGAGGGCGTAAATGTTTGATAAAAATCACCTGGATGTTTATTCCCGTCCTTTATATGAACATTGATCAGGAATCCATCAAATCATTCAGTTGGGAGATCAATAAACACTACTGTCTGCAGCCTGGTGCTTTTATTCTGAAATATCAGCCTGTACTTTCCGGTCAAAAACAGTGTGTGTGTGTGTGTGTGTGTGTGTGTGTGTGTGTGTGTGTGCGTGCGTGCCTGCCTGCCTGTCTGTCTGTGTGTGTGTGTGTGCATGTGTGCGCGTGTTCTGAAAAATAAAACACAACTGGTGCTTTTTATTTTGGAAATCTCCCCCTGCAGTTCTCTTCCGGTGCGCTCAGGGCGCTGTGGAGCTCTCTCTGCAGACAAAGAGCAGCAGAAGAAGAAGGGGAAAGTTAACACGTGTTCTCCTGGCTAACAGCGTGTTGTGTGAACAGAGCAGAAAGCAGAACACAGACCTTTATCATCATATTAAATACAGTTACAGACTTTCTTTAGAGATGGGGAAGACGAAGAAGGTTGCCCCGGAGGCGGAGGAGGCTCCAGAGGCTGCTCCAGAGGCTGCTCCAGAGGCTGCTCCGGAGGTAAAGGTGACTCTGAACCCGATCTGCACGCCGCTGGCCTCCAGGAAGCTCAGCAAGAAGCTCTACAAGTGCGTCAAGAAGGGTGAGAAACACACAGGAACACTCAGGAACACTCTTTAAACATGTCATATATAAAGAGGGGAAACTGGCTGCTTCTCTCCAGCTGTTTCTGTGGAGTTTCTGCAGAGAAAGCGTCAGAAAAGTGATCATTTTAAAACGTTCCTGCCCATCAGGAGGCTTTAATAACATGGTTTATTCATTTATTATATCTTGTTCGATTCGGTGGATTCTGTTGATTTAATTCCACATACAACATGTCATTAAAGGGTTAAAATGAGGGGTTAATGCCTGCTGTTTCTGTCCTATCGCAACTCCGTTAGAAAAGTGGTGATTTCAAAACTCCTTTCCATATCAGCAGACTTTATTAAAACGATATATTTCTTTATTAGATCTGGTTAGATTCGGTGGAAGCTGCGGATTAATTCGGCATGTAACCTGCCATTAAAGTGTGTAAATGAGGCTTTAGTGCCGGCTGGTCTCGTGTTGTCGGGAGGCTTTCTGGGACTGCTTGCCTCGTGTGAGGGGGGGGGGGGGCGGCTATGCGATAATAATAACATGTCTCATTCCTCAGGTATTTGGTTGTTTGTAGGATTTAAATAATGTTTATGCAGATCTGTGTTTTTAGAAAAGCCAAACTGTTCTTTACAAAATTTAGATAAAAATCACAGATTCCGCTTTATTTTGAAAATATTCCGCTTTATTGTGAAAATATCAGCTCTTTATTCTGACTGTATTGTGTTTGTGGTCCAGCTGTTAAAGTGAAGAACATCCGGAGGGGGGTGAAGGAAGTTCAGAAGTTCATCAACAAGGGAGAGAAAGGGTGAGTCTTCATCATGTCCCCCTCCTCTTCATCATGTCCTCCTCTCTCAGTATCATAGTCTCCTCCTCTTCATCATGTCCCCCTCCTCTTCATCATGTCCTCCCCTCTGTCTCTCAGGATCGTAGTCCTCGCGGGGGACACCCTCCCGATCGATGTGTACTGCCACCTCCCTGTGATGTGTGAGGACAGGAACCTGCCGTACGCCTACATCCCCTCCAAGACCGTACGTACATTAACATCACAGTCTGAGCTTCAGAGACATCCTGAGAACTCTTTAAAGGGTGTCCTGCTCCTAGGGTCTGTAGGTTATGACATCATGAGAACTCTTTAAAGGGTTTCCTGCTCCTAGGGTCTGTAGGTTATGACATCATGAGAACTCTTTAAAGGGTTTCCTGCTCCTAGGGTCTGTAGGTTATGACATCATGAGAACTCTTTAAAGGGTGTCCTGCTCCTAGTGTCTGTAGGTTATGACATCATGAGAACTCTTTAAAGGGTTTCCTGCTCCTAGGGTCTGTAGGTACATTTAGGAGCCTTTCAGAATAAAAGCACCAAGTCAGGTGGTCTTTGACAGACAAGCTTAATTTCTATTATCATATTTTTAAGGAATATGCCTGATAAATACTGTGTCTGGAAAATGGTTACATAACGACTTTATTCTGAAAATATAACGACTTTATTCTGAAAATATCACACTTTATTCTGAAAATATCACACTTTATTCTGAAAATATCACACTTTATTCTGAAAATATCACCGCTTTATTCTGAAAATATCACCACTTTATTCTGAAAATATCACACTTTATTCTGAAAATATCACCGCTTTATTCTGAAAGTATTGATGTCTGTGTTTCAGGACCTGGGCTCGTCGGCGGGGTCGAAGCGTCCGACCTGCGTCATCCTGATCAAACCTCACGCAGATTACCAGGAGGCGTACGACGAGTGTGAACAGGAAGTGAGCAGCCTGCCCAAACCCCTGTGAACACACACACACTATCTCTCTCACACTCTCTCACTGACACACACTCACCCCTCTTTCCGTTTTTACCATAAACGACGTGCATCTTGTCGGCTAGCAGTTTCTATCCACTTCCAGTCATTGTGCTAAGCTACGCTGGCGCTGGAGAGGATTTGATAAATTTGTTTTTATTCCTTTACGGTAAAAACAAAGTGTAAATAAACAAACCTGTTGTTGTTGACTAACGTCTCTGGAGGTTAGATGTTGATCCAGATGTTTCAGTGACGGCTCGAGGAACATTTGATTTTCTACGACGTTTTTTGTGTTTTTGTTTTAATTCACTTGTTTTGTTTTTTAATAAAATGAACGTGAACTGACGCTGACTCAAGTTTCCTTTTTAATGTTTATATAATCCTGTGATTTAATCTGCACCAGTTCCTGCAGTTTGATGGTTCAGCCACACGGGGGCAGCGCTGCAGTTTGATGTTCAGCCACACGGGGCAGCGCTGCAGTTTGATGTTCAGCCACACGGGGCAGCGCTGCAGTTTGATGGTTCAGCCACACGGGGGCAGCGCTGCACTTTGATGTTCAGCCACACGGGGCAGCGCTGCAGTTTGATGGTTAGTTTTGACTGAAATGATCAAATAAAGTCAACATTTCACAGTCTTTACTGAGCTGTGTGGGGTTTGTTCAACTTTTAAAAGATGTTTGAATGGTGATATACACAGTGATAGATGTTAAGGACTAACGTTTATAATAAATACATGTATTGATTTGAAGATCTTTTCATACAATCATACGTATTGGGATCATTTGTATTAATGAGGACCGGAGGGAGAGGGGGACGAGCATAAGTTTCACTTTCCTTTTTTATTTCAATTCCAACTTTGGTCATGAAGAATATGTTTCTCTGTTGTCCCCGTTCATAAAGCATAAAACAACAGCATCAGAGCACGGTGCAGAGTCTCTAGATGAGTTTACAGTAGTCCCTCGTTCTTATTAAACATCCATGTTGTAGTCCGCTGTATAGAAAACTGTAGTTTCCATAGTTTCCCCACAGCAGCAGACGCACATTCATGACGTCCGCTGGCGCATCATAAACACGTTGGATAGTGAAAGTGCAGTCGATTCTCTAAAGTACCGCAGTCTCTTCTAAGTCCTTTTGAATTCTCCAATCCACTATCCCTTAACCCCGTGACCTTTCACTCAGAGGTCAAGGAATAGACGATAGGGTTAGAACTTAGGAGCTGTTTTTTTGGAGTATTCGACCGCAACCAGGGTCCAGGTGTTCCTCTTTAGGGCTTAACAGGGCCCCTCTTTCTGTTTTTGCCCCCGGCCGGAAGAGATCTGAGGTACTGTGGTGTGTGTGTGTGTGAGCCTTTAGCTGAGATGTGTGTGTGAGATGTGGTTAGTCTGAGGATGGCGTGTGTGTGAGGTGTTACATACTGTAGTGTGTGTGAGGTGTTACGTAGTGTGTGTGTCCCTCCTCCTGCAGCTCCTCAGCTGAAGGCCATCACCAATCAGCAGTGGTGTTTTTTGTAGTCTTTGTGCAGCGTGTTGTAGTTCTAAATAGTGTTTGGGTTACCGTTGTCACTAGGCTTGTTTGAGACGAGCTGCAGCTCGCCTCGAAAGTAGACGAGAATAGCCGATCGCAGCCGGGGGAGGTCTCAAAAAGCAAGCCCCCAGGAAGTGCGCCGGACTCAGATGAAAATATTCGTGCTGGCCAAACGGCGGTACTACACTTCCTTTTGGTTGCCAGGCCCGGAAACACTTTTTCCCATTGACTTACATGGGGAAAGAGTGGTCTGTAAATCGTTGGATAATTTTTTTAAACTAAATAAACTACCCAGTATGAACACTTGTATAGCCCTTATTAAAAACATTCGTTCCTCAAGTTGTAAAAATGTGCTAATAACGTTATTCTGAGAGTTATTTCCCTCTGCATTATGAACGCGCATTTAACCCACGGGACCGCGCCGCCCGGCACGTTCATGTTACGTGTTCAGCACTAGTATGCGTTTATCTTTACCCATGGATGCACAATAAGAACGGACCCATATCGCCTTACTGCCAGCCCACGGAGCTGTAATAATGGATATATTGCACATGTTTGCTGTAATTCATCATTTGTAAAATATTATACTACATGGGCTGTATGATTAAATCTTGTACCGTAAATGTTGTATTAAATAAAGTTAATATTACCGACGTAGATTAACGTCCCTGTAGCTTCTTATTGCACTAAGAAGCTTATTGCACTGTATATATATATATATACATATATACATATATGCACCGAGTACAGGTAATTAACGTATTGTGGTTTTAGATATAATTACATACTATTTAGGTTCTCGTTTGTTTGTCGATGTGGCTGTTTAGCGCAGTGTAATTGTGTTTATTTTGCTAATTTGTATTTTAAATATTAAATGTAAAGGAATGGAATACATATATATATATATATATCTTAGCTCTTAGCTTGACATGCTCGACGTTCAGTTAGCATATATGCTAACTGAACATGCTCGTTCAGTTAGCATGTCAAGCTAAGAGCTAAGATATATGTATATATTTTAGCTTGACAGATGGAACAACGCATGTACTCGCATTTTTACAAGAATCTGATTTTGTGTAAGTTTTAAATATTCATTGAAGGTGTCTTTCACATTTGAATGTTTTAAAAAAAAAAAACATGTATTAGCTGCTATACTGACATGCACATATGTATAATTATATTATTATTTTAAGTGTGGTTTAAAGTTAAATGATATATAGTTATTGGGTAGAGCCAAGTAACCCAGGTGGATGCAATCAGGCCTCTGTTTTTAGATGGGGTTTGTGGCCATGCTGTAGGCCTGACATTTAAACCCATAGACTGGGTGTTTCTCAATCGCGAGTAAAGCTGCTTCCGAGCCACTATTTCAAGCATACTACGTCATCGAGTGCCGCCGAAGTACTGTTCCAATCTCCAGTATACTTGGAAATCTACCGAGCCCGGCGTACTCCGTTTGGAGAAATATCGAGTGTGCACATGAGTAGACTTCGCGGCCTTAAAATCCCCACAATGCTTTGCGCACGGACCAATTTCCCCAAATCTGTGGCGGAAGATGTAAGGCGAGGCCTCTCATATGACGCACACCTGCACACTTGCTAGCGTGTTCCACACTTCGTTTTTCCGAATGCCAGGAAGTATTTTTGACTCGCTTCTGAAGCAAGATGCTCGGCAGACATCTGCTACCAAGCAAGCGTACTCGCGATTGAGAAACACCTGAGCCTCGTCTCAATACCCCTCCTCGACTCCTCCTTTCCCTCACTCGCGTCCCTTCCTTGCGTCTTAGCTCCGCCTCCGTAAGATGCGAGTGAGAGACACGAGGAGGTGACGCGAGGACAGAGGAGTGAGTCCTCAGGTATTAATTGGGATGTCCTCGTTCACTCAAACGTCACTCTTAAACGACGTCTGTTAATGATGACATGTGCACAGCTGTATCCCCTCTCATCGGGCTTAACTGAATAACCTTTAGAACCGGCCCATTTGTTGTTAAATATGTATTTAAATGATGAATCTTTCTCTTGTTAGTCAAGGAATTCAATGTATGATGGTTGGTCCTGCTTTTGTGTTCCGTTTTGGTGTAAAATGTACATTTCAATACAATTATAATTATAATAATGTGAAAGCCTTTACTCTGAACATGTGTGTCCTGTAGATCCCCACATTCACCACAAACCCACATTCAGGACTGTGAATTTTAAATAATTTAACTACTCAATATTTTAACACAAAACAAAACAAATAATTGTTATTTATCAAGATCTAGCCATTTATGAAATAGCTTTCTTAATAGCTATGTTTTAGTGACGTTCAAGATCATTAAACATGACTTAAATTGTTAGTATAACCTTAAGAAATGAATTGCACATAATAATTCCCACGGAGCTGTGAGCACTTATACATTTATGTGACGCTTTTCCACTCATTCTTCCAGTTCTCCGTTTTCCTCTCTTGAAATCGACCAACTGTGAAGGTGGGGGCGGGGCTTTTATACGCGAGTAGTGAAAACACTTCCGCGTAGTCTGCTCTCGTGTATCCTCCCTTTTGTCTCCTCCCGCACCCCTCCTCCCTCACCCCTCCTCGACTCCTCCGTGTGCATTTCAGCTATTGGGACGTCCTTCAACATGGCGTGTCTTGATCGATTTCCGGGTCAAGTCCCGGAGGAGGGGAAGAGAGGAGTCAAGGAGGGGTATTGAGACGAGCCTCCAGAGTATATATAAAGATTTAAACTAGCTGAAGGGCTTTCTGTTCGAACCACAGTGACATCTAGAGGTTGTTTTGTGCATAACATGTCAACCAAAAGGGTAGAGCTGGCTGAATCAGATGGAGTTAAACTTCTTTTTTTTTTCAACAAGATATCAAGACACAAAATGTGCTCTACCAATTTAAATAGGCTTTAACCTCCTGCAGGTCAATCCTGGCTGCTTACATTTTTATTTAAAATCATGTTGATTTTACTGTTGGGATCAATTTAAAAGGTTATTTTTTTTTTTTTAAGCAGACCAGCTTGAATGTTCTGTTCAATAAATGTTCATTGAGGAAAACGGTATCAGTGTCTTATTGTATATTCATCACAGTGAATGCAGTGAATGCTGAACTTGCCGGACCATATACTGTAGTTGAAAGTACACAATGAAACAATTCCCACATGCCCTACCCCGGAACCTGCGGTCTTCAGACTCTGGCCCCCCGCACCAACCTGCGATCCTTCGGGGACAGAGCCTTCAGTATGGCAGCCCCCACTCTCTGGAACGCTCTCCCTGCGGAGATCTGCAACATCCTCACGCTTGACGCCTTCAAAAGGGCCCTCAAGTCTGCCAAGGTCTTTGGCCCCAAATCTATTTGTTTTGTCTGTCTAATTGTTCGTCTGACTGCCTTTTGTTATGTTTGTTTCTACTCCTGTTCTTTTTAAAGCGACCTTGGGTCTCATGAAAGGCGCTCTATAAATCCAAGTTATTATTAATACATCATTGGAACGGTAAGAATCTCAGCTACAACACTGACTAAAGCCTTCCCATCTCCAGTATGCCTACATGACAAGCATTTTTATAATATACAGTAAACATATCTTTGACTTATTGCAAAATTATAAAATGAAATTCACCCCTGCTGTCATTCTGGCTTTGACTGTTCAAATGAGATGTCAACCATCAAAATGGGATAAGGGGTTCCAGAAATATCACTGTGCAAAACACACCCGGCCAATTTGACCGATAATAGTATGGGAAGGGGGGTATGACCGAACGCAAGAGAAGAGACAATCATCAAGCCAGATACCAAGGTATTTACAACAGGCAACCACTTCAATTACTTTTCCTTTATGTTATT